CAGAAGAGCCAAAACAAGCAATCATATTGATGCAAATGTGGAGGGTTTAAAGTGGAGAACTGGGGTCCATCTGTAGACAATTGGACATCCCCTCACAGAAGGGTCACAATGAAAGCAAGCCAGCCAGGGTACAGTATAGCACCAACGAAACACACAACGTTCCACTAGTTCAGTGGTTGTCAACCTGTGGGTCGTGATCCATTTGGGGGTTGAATGACCCTTTCATAGGGGTCGGCCGATTCATACCAGTAGCAAAATCACAGTTCTGAAGTAGCAACGAAAAATGTTTTATGGTTGGGGTGAGGAGTGGTCACCACAACATGAGGAACCGTATTAAAGGGTCACAGCATTAGGAAGGTTGAGAACCACTGCTTTAGTTCTTTAATGCTCCCTCCTGACCACTATCATGATCCAGTTCTCCCTTACAAATCTGAGTAGACCAAAGCATGTACACGGGTACAGCTAAGAGCTCTCGACACACGGAACCCAGGACAGATTTCCCTGACTTCCCCAAGGAACAATAAAGGGAGTAGTGAAAACATAAGGATAGGGGGAAGCGCGGGGGGGTAATTGATCACAACAATCAATGTATAACACACATACCCCACCCCAGGGAAATGAACAACAGAAACATGGGTGAAGGGAGACAGCAGACAGTGTAAAATATTAAAATAACAGTAATTTAGAATTTTCCAATGGTTCACAAGGGTCGGAGGGAGGGAAAAAAGAGGAGCTAATATCAAGGGCTCAAACAGAAAAAAAAAATGACTTGAAAATGATGATGGCAACATATGCACAAATGTGATTGATATGATTAATGTATGGATTGTTATAAGCGCCGATTAAAAGAAACAAACTTGCAATTTTAAAAAACAGAGAATGACATTAACCAAAATGGTATTGGAAAAAATTTCCATCTTCCCTTTGCTCTAGCTCTCAAATACATTATTTACAGAAATCTTATATATTTATAGGTCTCATGAATATTACATGATTACACAAACATATATTTTCAGATTTTCTATCTCTGTGGACATTTTTCATATTTACCAAAAATAGCTGATCCTAAAATCAGTTTTTAAAAAGTATTGGTATCATATTTTCTGAAAAAGTAAATTGCATGAGACTGAGAAAATATGATCCCAATACTGTAGGAACAAAAAAATTCTTGTATTATATAATGATTCAAGCAAAGAGAAAATGAAGGAAACATATCAATCACATTTATGAAACTAGTATTCCTTAGATAACAAAACCCAACAAGTATTGTTCAAAAATTAAAGTTACAGGCCAAATGCATTAATGCATATAGATGTAAAATTGGTAAAAACTAACCTATTGATACAGAGCATACAATATCCACTAATGCTGCTGACCAAATTTATGAATTCCATAGGGTTTCCAAGACTATAAATATTTAAAGGAGTAGAAAGCCTCATTTTTCTCAGGCAGAACTGGCTGGTAAGTTTTAAACTACCTGCCTTGTGATTGGCAATGTACTGCTTAACCCAGCAGAGATTCTTAAGATACAGTAAAAGCATTTTATCAATATTTGCTTATTTACAATTTTCTATTTGAAGCAATAAACTAAACCTAACTATAACCTAAAAAACCCTACAGCGATGGAGCCCGCTGTTACTCATCATGACTCTATAAACACACAGGGTTCCTGAAGCTTTATGGGGTGGCAGCAGACCACCTATCTTAATCCCATGGAGTGGCTGGTCATCTCGAATCATCAACCATGCAGTGAGCTATCTAACACTTAACCCAACAGAGGCATCAGATCCCGTCGTAAGTAAAGAACGCGACCTTAACTACACACAGATACAAAACACTGAGGGCCCTGCCGCCACGCCACCAAGTAAGGAGTGGAATGAATCCTTCGATCCAAAGATCTCTGAGAAAGGGTGAGATAGTTTATTGTGCCAGCCTGGCTGATAAACACAAGTGGGATTAACTGAAGGGCAGAGAGATAAATGCCTTGGTGAGTCTCGCCTTTCTTGTCTCTCGCTCTTTGATCATCGGACCAGTGTGCGGCTGCCTTGCTTGTCCTGTGCCTCAATTTAAAGGCTACACTACCTGTGGGACTCCTAGCCTGTGGACTGTGTCGCTGTAAGTTGAGGTCCCTTTAAGACATCGCTGGAGCTGGGGACTGGCAGTTGAGTGACCTTGCTGCCAAATTTTATTTAGCAAAAATGACAATACATCTGAGGATCCATCCTTGTGTTAAAATGTAGCAATGATATTCCTCAAACTAAGTGGTGAGGTCATTGTTCCTTCCCTAAAATCTAGGTAAGTCACGTGATTATCTAAGCCAACAAAGAAATCCCACAGTAATGTGTCTGATTTCTGAAATTTGTGCAAAAATTATATGCACTTGTTTTTTGGAACACAGACACATTATTAGAAGGAAGAAAAAAGGTCACTTGGAAAAGCCACAAGTATGTGCCCCAAGTTACAGACCTAGGAGAGATCACAGTCACATTTCTTATCAACCACCCAACATTGGAATAGGTACTTTCACGATTCCACTCACTAGACAAGTCTCCTAACCTATGAGTAACACTATCATGTGATTCACCAGTAATTCTAAAGACACCTGAAGCCAAATCCAATAGTCTAGGGTTTGCAATGCATACTAAGGAGAAAAAAATCGCCAAATCAAGCAGACCAGAAGATCTGAGCTGATAATTGCAGAACAGAATGTAAGAACAATGATACTGAATATGTTCCTGAATTTAGAGGAACTCATGAAAATATAGGAAATAGAAAAATTCAAGAAAAACATGAACACTATAAAAAGCATCAAATGAAATCACAGAACAAAAAAAATCATTACCTGGAATGCTAATGTGAACTAGATGTTGAAAAAAGTCAATTAAACAAGAAAGGAAAATAATAAATAAAAATGGTAGGTCTACATAGAAATAAAGAAAAAAACTCCTTCTAGCTAAAGGGAAATGATGCTATACGGAAATTCCTATTTATACGTACGAATGAATGAAGAGCACAGCATATGTCATATGAAAAGAGAAAGAAGCTCAGCCAAAACTCTTTCCAACTGCAGATATATCCCAATATAATTGACACCTAGGGAACGCGACATGTATTCTGTCCACAACAAACACCAGGTGAACTCAGAAAATTATATCAAGGTGAATCAAGCCAATTAAGCAAGCCCAAAACAGATACATCCAACATTTTAAAACCACTGTATTTCAATGGAGTCCTGTTGCTATGTAGTGGGATCAACGTTGAGTTAACCAGAGTCAGAGGTTCAAAACCACCGGCTGCTCTGTGGGGGAAAGAGGAGGATATCTACTCCTGTGAAGAGTGACAGATCTAGAAGCACAGAGGGCAATTCCACTCTGTCTCACAGGGAATCGATCCCATGGCAGTGAGCGTGGAGTAGTCAATGTGTTGAAGTATTCTGAACCATACCACGCACACACCCAGCTTCCTCATTGTCGGTCGGATTCTCCCCGCTCTCCTGTCCCTACTTTGCAAAACCATCAAAGGTACAACCCTTAGAGGCACTACTTTCATAAGCAAAGTTCAAAATCCTGTAAAAGCAAAATGTATCGTTTATAAATCTACGAATCATAAATGCAGAAAATTATGCTCTTTACTATGTTCCTATCTTTTGTTAATGTGTCAATGACAAAGACTAAGTGCTTTGACTTAATCTGACATCCTTCGTAAACTATTTTTTATGTATAATAAAATTAGTAGAACGTTACAAACCAATATCTCATAAATCGAGACAATCATCCTAAAGAAGATATAGATAACTAAATCTAGCAAGTTATTAGAAATAATACAACATAATTAAACAAGCATCAATACCAAATATGCTTTAGAATGGTTTAGCATTCTAAAATCATTCAATGCAATTAACCTTGCTGATTTGAATAGAGGAGAAACTTAGCTGATCATCTAAATAAATATGGAATGTGGATTTTTAAAAATTTAGCACCTTCCCGTGATAAAAACTCACAGCAATCTAGGAGTAGAAAATACACTAAACTTGACAGGGCATTTACCAAACATGCTAACACCATCCGTCCTTGCAAAGCACTTAAGTACTCCCCCAAACAGGAACCAATCAAGAAGGTCTGCTCTCATCGCAGCTATTCAAGATTGTAATGGAGAGATAGTGTAAATAGAGGACAGTATAATAGAACCCCAATAATAATAATAACCGGTTGTATTTATTCATGTGACACAACTCTGTGTATTTTTACAACTGAAAGAGATCCAATCACTGTAATACACGATTTTAGCAAAGTCGCACATACTGGGTTTGTTTTTTATAAAGGGAAAACACTACTTGTATTTCTAGTTCTGTAAGAAACAACTGGACTCTGAGCATCACCAACGGTCTGAAGGGCCCGGCTTTGTACCCTGCGCCCCTTGCAGGCCTCATTCTGCCCACGAGCTTAGTGGACAGACTGCCTGTAAACAGCCTGTCCTCGAGCGCTGGGTCGGGAGTTGTTTGGCCAGGGTCTTTTGAAAAGCAGTGTCTCCATGAAATGCTAGATTTTATTTATATAATGAATGAGCACCTTTCCCCCTTTTTTCCTTTTTTAACAATACCCTTTCAGAAATTTCTAACTACTTTGTAAACTGCATCACTTAAACCTGGCGATAAAGCAGTTATTAAAAGTCTACCTTTTCCAAACCTTAAAAAAAAAAAAAAAAAGAAACAAACAACTGGGCAGTGTTTCCTCCTGTTGTACATAAGTTCGCTATAGTCAGAATTGATTCAATAGCAATTAACAGAGCTTTATAATATGTAAAATTGTACGGAGATATGTACATTTTTTCATGTGTGTATGACTTTTTGCTGGGATTTTTAAAACAGCATGTCAATTTTTAATTATTAAATTTACAAACCATTTCCATTACCTCTAGTTTTCTCAATAAACAAATAGGAAATTCTTTAACTGTCAGCATATCTAACAGCCTAAGCTATACGTAAGCCGAAGAACACACACCGTTTTTGGGAAGTGCGACTTCCTCGATGCTGGGCACAGGGGTCGGATCTTCCATACCCTTGGTAAGATCTTCTTGCTCTTCTTCCTCTCTCTGACTTCTGCGCTTCCCATAGAGACTAGCCTGGCTGAAACAGAAGAGATAGAAAATATAAACTACTTGTTTTACTGTTTAGAAATAAAGTGCACATATGTATCACAACAATTCCCAAGCTAATGAGTATATAATTTAGGAACAACTGAATTAATCATGTTGTACAACAATCACCCATACGTATTAGAATTTCCATCACCATAAACTCACTGCCTGCTAGACAATGCTAAACAATGACATATACCTCCTTCCTCCCATTAACCACCAAAAAAACACTGTTCTCTGTAGTTTACCAATTCTTGTCCATGAGTGTCACAGTGGTTTGTCTTCAATCAACATCTAAATTAAAGGTTGGCAGTTCAAACCCATAGTATTACTGCAGAACACGTTTCTTAAGAATTACAACAAAGAAAAACCTATGGCATTCTATGTGGTGTAACACATGGAGTCACCATGAGTCAAAATCTTAGTCAACAGCAAGGTTGGCTGGATTACAGCTACTTTTAGTAAATTATCTGATGCTACACCTGCACTAGTGCTAAGAATCATATATTCCAAATAAGTTAAACAAAAACAGAAGTCAAGCCTATGATATACTCTCTAAATTACCTGAGATTCTAACTAATCAAAAAGAAAAATTAATGCTATTGAACTTAAGAAATGGACACAGAATGCAATTATTCAAGTCATCAACCTTGTATCTTTTTTTTTTTTTCAACCTTGTATCTTAAGGAGATCTAAAATTGATGGGGAGGAGGGCATAGAATGCTCGGTGGGGTCCGGTCAAGTGCAATGAAGCCGAGAGGAAATACTGAAAGCTGAATGAAGGTCGAACATGATAGTAGGACAAGAGGAACGTAAAAGGAAATAGAGGAAATAAAGTAGGAAACAAAAGTGTGTGTTTATGTAGACACAGGGCGAGGGAACAGGAGCGAGGCTTGGTCAAAATATAGGATATAAGGTTGATGATGAGATATATACCTCCATTAAGTTTATAATAAAAAATTGAGGAAAAGGGAGAAAAATCAAAGACGAATGCTTCTGATCACTGTTTTATTCAAATGCCAGGTGAGCTGGAGAGGGGAACTGATATAGGGAAGCAATAGGAAGTAAGATGCCGGGTGGGTCACTAAATGTCCCGCCTACAGCACACTTCAACAAACTATTAAATGAAAAGAATACCATTTGTAAGCTGACATATTCTCACTAAGAAAACTAAAATTTCTGGAAGTATATAAAAATATTTTGAGTTAGGAGACATGAAAATTACTGCATATGCAATATTTCATATGTAATAATAAAGTTCAATTGAACAAGTATCTACCATTTATTAAATAGCAACTTTAGCCCAGGCACACTGTACAAGGATGTAAAAGGAAAGTTTCATTATCTTCCACAACACACACTCGACAGAAGCTGTGCCCTCCACATGGCTAATGACGTACAGCACATGTCTGTACTCTGTACAACACCGCATCGTGTGCCCACCTCCTCCGGTTATTCTTTGGATCGCAAATGGGGCAGGTGGAAAACCCAAACTATGGTGAATCGTTTCTTAGGTTTCTTACCAGCCACACTTCTGGACATTAATTTAGAGACAGGAAAAGCATTATACTCAAAGTGCCTTTGTAAGCAATACAACATCTATGCCTGATAGGTAATACCCTAATACAGACAAGCTATCAAAAGGAAAGGATTCCCAATGAGAGTAAAAGAAGTCCACTCAAGTCATAGAAAATATAAAAATCAGGGAAAGGTATGACAAAATAACAATTTACAAATTATCATGGGCTCATGAGGGAGGGGGGAGCGGGGAGGGAGGGGAAAAATGAGGACCTAATGCCAGGGGCTTAAGTGGGGAGCAAATGTTTTGAGAAAGATGAGGGCAATGAATGTACAAATGCGCTTTACACAATTGATGTGTGTATGGATTGTGATAAGAGTTGTATGAGCCCCTAATAAAATGATTAAAAAAAAAGAAAGAAAGAAAATGTGAAAATCTATAAATCTTTGGAGCTTGTTTTCCGCCTTCTGAATCCCACGAACAGGCTTACCCCTTTTTCCCACTCTTCTTCCGCGATTCTGTGGGTGTGGGTGGAGGGGGGGACGGCGAGTGTTTCCGCTTTCGGGCATTTGCTGCAGCTTTCCGGTCTCTTCTCTCGGGGCTTCGGACTGGCTAGGAGAAAGGAAACGGAAATAAATATCAACCTGCTTCACTCACTGGTCACTTTCCACACAAATGGCCGACGAGTGAGTTTCCATAATGCACACAATATCACATCCAGTAGCTCAGAGGAAACGAAAGACACACTCCGAAACATCACGGACCACCAGCAATGAAGAGACTGACACGCAAGGTGATGTGTGACCAATGGAAATACCAGGGGGCAGGGTCCTGTGGGTATTCAACGCGTGTCTGACATAGACTGGCATGCCACAGCCTACACAACAAAAACTGCTGTTCCCAATGTTCTTTCAGGATGGGAAAAGCATTTCCAATAACGACTGGGAACATATGAAACATTCTGTTGAATAGCTAAAATACAAAGATGAGCCGAATGATCTTGTAAAAAAAGAAACTATAAAAGCAACTCTTACCTTATCAATAAGAATTAAATGAAATGTTGTATCATAGTAGCTTTTAAAGAAGATTGTGGGAACAAGAAGAGATCTAAAATTGAAGGCAAGGAGGGCGTAAAATGCCTGAAGGGGTGTGACCAAGTACAATGCAGACAAAAGGAACTACTGAGAGCTGAAGGAAGGTCGAACATGATAGTGGGGCAGGAGGCAAGAAAGGAAAAGGGAGGAAAGGAGGAGGCAGCAAAAGACTTCTACAGAAGTATAAACATAAGCATGTATGTATGTAAATACATTAATATATGACCATAGGGAAGTATGTCTAGGTACATATATCTAAATGTTATGTATTAAAGTAGCAGATGGATATTGGGCTCTACTGAAGTCCTCCCTCAACCCATGAGCACTCTGTTCTAATAATCTGGAAGTCTGTGATGCTCACCTTCCCGACATGATCACTGAAGACAAAATGAGTGCATAAGCAAATGTGGTGACGAAAACTGTTGGTGTCTGTCTATTGCAAGATATAGCATTTGGGGTCTTAAAGGCTTGAAGTTAAACAAGCGGCCATATAGCAGGGAAGCGGCAAAACCCACAATGAAAGAAACACACCAGCCTGTGTGATCACAAGGTGTCACCGGGATCAGGTTTATCATGCATCAGAAGACCCAAAATAAACAATCATATCGATGTGAATGAGGATGGTTGGAGTGGAAAACCAAGGCCTATCTGTAAACAATTGGACATCCCCTCAGAGAAGGGTCACAAGTAAGGGACGAGACAGCCAGGGTGCAGTACAGCACTGACAAAACACACAACAATCCTCTAGTTCTTTAATGCTACCTTCCCCGCCTCCCCCCACCCCCCACTATCAAGACCCAGTTCTACCTTACAAATCTGGCTAGACTGGAGGATGTACATTGGTACAGATAAAAGCTCTCAACACATGGAATCCAGGACAGATAAACCCCTCATGAACAGTTATGGGCGTAGCAATACCATGAGGGTAGGGGGAAGGTGAGGAGAGAAGGGGGGCAATCATCCCCATATACCACCACGGGGAAGATGAACAACAGAAACATGGGTGAAGGGAGACAGCGGGTGATATCAGATACGAAAATATTAATTCATAATTCATCAAGGGATCATGGGTGGGGGGAGAGGAGCTGATACCGAGGGCTCAAGTAGAAAGAAAATGTTTTGAAAATAATGATGGCAACATATGTACAGATGTTCTTGATACAACTGATGTATGGATTGTTAATAAGAGCTGTACAGGCTCCCAATAAAATGATTTAAAAAAAAAAACAGATTGCAAGTTACAACTTATAACACAACTATCTTTACTTGCAAACATATACAAAACTCTAAAGAGTAAACACACACACACAAAATTCTCCCAACTACTTGACTTTCAAATTTCAGCCAAGTTGCAAGATATAAAATCAATATATAAAAAGTGCATGTATATAACAGTTTCTAATGTAAGACTCACAGTGAAGAAGTAAAATCATGTGATGAAAAGATGAACATATCAAACAATCAAGGTCTCTGGGGCCCGCACTAACCCCCGTTTGCTTTCACTGACTGTGGTATTAAATGGGAAAGCTGAGGAACCAGGAAAGTCTGTGAAGTACAGTTAAAAATAAAATCTAAATCACACCAACACATATACTTCTGAATAGTACCGTAGTCTGAGGGTAACTTTTTCAAACAGGATATTAAGTTAATTTTTATATCTACGCTAAAAAATGCCTGAGGACCCTGTTCTTGAACTGCTCGTCTAACGGTGGAAGGTCAAAGCAACCACCACTTGGTGGGAGAAAAATGAGGCGACCTGCTCCCGGAAAGATGGACAGCCTTGGAAACCCTGCCCAGGGCCACCAGACTCAACGGCAGCGGATTTGGTTGAGTAAATAAACAAACCATCTTAACCCGAGTATGAGAAACTACGAAGGTCGAGTTTAACAATGTGCGAGAATATTCTTGATGACACAAAAATCCTCGTTTGAAACGCATTACCGGGAAACCAGCATTTTTATCATGGAATATTAAGATTAAAAAGTTTGAAAAGTCAAATCCCAAAGCAAAGTGAACATACATACACTGTAACACAGAATTTATAGTAGGAACGTATAAAAAAGGGCCGAAAATAGATATCAAAGCACCCTATTTTCCAAGATATGAATTTAAAAAAACTGTTTTAAAGGTTTTTCAAAAAACTAACACACACACACACACACACAAACCAAAGAGCATCTATTTTAGGTTTCCCCAGTAAAAAAGACCTGGGAATCATCAGTCTCTTTCCAGAACTGCCACAAGCCCAACACTAACACATAAAGGTTGTCCTAACACTTCAACAAGTGCTCCTACCTCTCAAGTTACAGGTTATAGGGAATCTCAGCAATAAAGCAGTTCACTGTCGAAAAAAGGCCTGACCTATATACAAAGCTCTGAGATCTTTAAGGCCTGAACTCTGTACTAATTTCAGTGAGCTACATAAAAATGTAAAAGCAAACTTATGAGCTAAATAAAATTATACTGTGATGATACTTAGCTTATGAAATTAAAATGCATATCTAGAAAACAATTAATTATGCTACTGCTATACTACTTGGGCTATTTTGAATTCCAATGCATCTGTGAACTTTTTATGACCTCTTTTTGGGATTGACTACCACCGTTCAGTATCTTTTACACATCATTGATAACCAATGCTAGAGTTTACCAATGAAAACTCAGTAACATCTAGGTCAAGAAAATAGTAACACTTCATTGACAGTAATGGTGCCAAACCAAATACCTCTTCATTCTTCGTTGAAATTCGCTGTCGAAAACTCACAGGCTTCCTACTCTCATCCACCTCATAATCCTCCTCATTCATCCATTCATTGAAAACATCAGTGTCCAAAATCCACTTTGCATGAACCTAAAGACACATGAAAACATGAGCATTTACAAAAATAATAAAATCATTCAATGCATTTTCAATCTTCACAGATGCATAAACAAGATTAGTAATGACATGTGACTGGCAACTTAACCATTCCTAATTTTTGTTTCTGGTCTTTTAATGAGAAAACGAGTCAAAGTATAGACTATAGGAAACAAGTGCTATAGGAGCAATACAATTGCAAGAAATAAGACTTTAGAGGAGTTTAGAAAATAAATACATCTTCACTGGAAACTGAGCGACCAGAGATCTTGTGCATTTTTGGCAAAATAAATGTTGACTATTGATTTGGAAAGCCCGTCATTGTTTAGCATGGTCAATGTTTGCACTGCCTAGGGACACACATAATGAGACAAGTTCAAGAAAGTTGAAGCAGCATTGTTCCGAATGCCCTCAACATGACAATACACTGTACAGTCAAACAAAAGGGTGCAAAGAGCCCTGGGGGTGTTGTGAGCTAAGCATTAGATTCCTAACTGCATGAGACTGTCAGTTCAAACCCACCACCTCCTCTACAGGAGAAAGTTGAGGTTATCTGCTGTTGCTGCGGCGAACAATCTCAGAAACCACAGGGGGCGGTGATTCTACTCTGTTCTCTACGTACAGTCACCATGAGTCATTGATGGCAATGAGTGAGTGGTTGTGGTAGATCATATGAATAATATCTAGGAATATAATGCTGAAAAAACAATTTATGTTCCGACCAATATTAAGAACATTTATGCAATGAACTTTTATCAGTGGGGGGTGAATAACTCAGAAAAGGAGTCACATGAAGGAACATATACTTGCAGTAACATTAATACCAAGAAAAAGATAAGCATTTACAATAATATTTACCTCTGAGAGGGCCACGCAAAGGAGAAATCATACTAAGAATGCTTCAACGTGAATAGTAATCTTATTCCCCACTGACCAGTGGGAGCTGACCTGTTTGTTTTACTGTCCTCTTCTTTGACTCATGTTTTATAATATTACTAAGATGCTCAATCTTTAAAAGTTGCTTGTTACATTTTTCAGAGCAAAACAAAATAGAAATTGTTTCATAATATAAAATATATATACTGCTATATGTTGTTTATACATAAAACATGCAAATGTTTTATTTGTATGTAAATTTTATAATGTAATTTACTGTTTTATAAAATAAAGTAATATTTTTAAATATAGAAAACATCAAAACAACATTGTGTTATAAAGAAAGAGCTGGCCAGAAGCAACAAAGCCCACATGGAACAACATATCAACCTGTGTGATCACGGGGTGTCGAACGGATCACTGAAGACAAATGGGTGCATAAGCAAATGTGGTGAAGAAAGCTGATGGTGTCCGGCTATCAAAAAGTATAGCGTCTGGGGTCTTAAAGGCTTGAAGGTAATCAAGCGGCCATCAAGCTCAGAAGCAACAAAGCCCACATGGAAGAAGCACACCAGCCTATGCAACCACGAGGTGTCGAAGGGATCAGGTGTAAGGCATCATCAGAACAAAAAAATCTTACCATAGTGAATGATGGGGGGAGTGTGGAGTGGAGATCCAAAGCCCATTAGTAGGCCACTGGAGATCCCCTTGCAGAGGGATCTCGGGGAGGAGAGGAGCCAGTCAGGGTGCGATGTAACAATGATGAGAAATACAACCTTCCTCTAGTTCCTAAAGGTTTCCTCCCCGCTCCCACTACCATGACTCGAATTCTATCTTGCAAGACCGGCTCGACCAGAGAAGGTACACTGGTATAGATAGGAACTGAAAATACAGGGAATCCAGGATGGATGAGCCCTATAGGACCAGTGGTCTGAGTGGCAAAACAGGGAGGGTGGAGGGAGAGTGGGTAGGAAAGAGGGAACCAATTGCATGGAACTGTGTGTGGCCTCCTCCCTGGGGGACGGACAACCGAAAAGTGGATGAAGGGAGAAGTCGGACAGGGCAAGATATGACAAAATACCCATTTGTAAACTATCAAGGGCTCATGCGGGAGGGGGGAGCGGGGAGGGAGGGGAAAAATGAGGACCTAATGTCGGGGGTTTAAATGGAGAGAAAATGTTTTGAGAAACGATGTACAAATGCGCTTTACACAATTGATGTGTGTATGGATTGGGATAACAGTTGTATGAGCCCCTAATAAAATGTTAAAAAAAAAATTAGATATTACAGAATAAAAAATAAAAAAAAGATCTAGTAAAAAAAGAAAGAAAGAAAGAGCTGGCAAATGTTTTGAGATTGATGAGGGCAACAGGTGTACATAGGTGCTTGGCTCAGTGGATGTATGTATGGACTGTGATAAGAAATGTACAAGCCCTCAATAAAATAATTTTTTTAAAAAGACAGCCAGGTCAAAATTTCACACAAACAGAAATTCAAATATGTTCTAAAAAGCTGTCCTACACACTTGAAAATTGCCAATGTCATAGAAGACAAAGTAGAGAGCTGTTTCAGCCCAGACAGACTTGAGCGCTAAATTCTACATGAGATATGGCCAATTAATCATGAAGCATGTTACTGAGACATTTGGTGGAATTGGCATATGACCCAGAATGTGGGCCTCATAGTTAAGCGAAAATATTATTCAAGAATGAATTTCATGAACATTTTTAAAAAATAATCTGGGCGAAGGTTATAAAGCAACACTGTATTTTTCTTTTAACTTTCTGATTAATTCCCACATTAAAAGTTGAGAAAAAAAAGTTAATGCACAGATTGTGGCCCCCATTAAAGAGCTTCCTGTTTCACTGAAACCCCTGCAAGCAATGCTTCTTCATCCTGCGGCTCCACCTCACTGCTCTCAACTATCTCAAACCACAAGGTGACTCCTCCTTAGCTTTGGAATCCCTTCCATATCACTGGAGCCATTTCCCTTCAGAAATGGGTAAGGAGGCCGTCGTGGTTATAAATATCTCTTAAACAGAAAAGAAAAAGAACATCACTCTGTGCTTTCTTAAAATATTGTTGTGGACAAGAACTATTGGAAGTTCTGTTTTTTTAATAGTCATGTTTTCTCATGTTAAAGACTTTTAGAAAAGGATGATTCACCTTCCATGGTTTTTCTGGAATTGGTGGGTCTTCAATTTCAGCGTCAACATCACTGTTGTGGACCCAAGTATCATAGCTGTAAGTGAAATGAAAAAAGGAAAAAATAATTAGAATTCAAGTTCATTATTCAAATTGTTTTTATTAAACAGTAAAGATATATTTTCTAGGGGAACCCAGTAATAACCAGTGATCAAACACTTTTGTCTCTATCATTCTGCCAAAAAGGATGTTTCTATAGCTCACCAGTACCCTTCGCAGTACTGAACCCTCAAGACAACCTGGTGTTCTTTCTAGACTTCTGTGTTTCCTCCCCTAAACGATTTCAACACTAAGGCCCCCATGGACTAAGTTGCTCTTACCTAAGAAGCCCTGGTGGCACTGCTGGAATAAGCCCTGGACTGACCAGCACTATTCTGCTAACAGCATGCTCAGTGGCTCAAACCCACGAACCACTCTGCAGAAGAAAGATGAGGCTCTCTGCCCCTGCAAAATGTTACAGCCTAGGGAAAAATGAGGAGCCAATACCAAGGACTCAAGGAGAAAGCAAATGTTCTGAGAATGATGATGGCAACAAATGTACAAATGTGCTTGACACAATGGATGGATGGATTGTGATAAGCGTTGTACGAGCCCCCAATAACATGACATTTTTTTAAAAGTAAAGAAGCTTAATATTGCCTAATGAAAGCAGCCATATTTATATGGAAATAAACTAATATTGTTGTGTTTCAAAAAAAAAAGTTACAGCCTCAGAAACCCCTATGTGTCGCTATGAGTAGGAATCAACTCAAAGGCAGTGGGGTTTCCCTATCTACTTGTTCTTTGGTACCTACCAAGGCTAGCTCCATCATTTCAGTTCCACCGGCCAAAAAGCCTTGGAAACATCCTCAAGCCTAATCTTAATTATATCCTATAGCCAAATTCTATTTGTCTTCTAACTCCATCTTCAAACTATGCCGAGGTTCTATCAATTTCTAACCCATTCAATTCTGCTCACCAGTTTCTTTACATTTGGCTCCTACAATTAATTTTTCACACAACCAGATTGATGCTTTGAAAACAACGTCAGACCCTGTAACTCATCTGCTCACAACCTTTCAAAAGGCACCCACCTAAAGCAGAGGGAAAGTGGCTCACGCCTGTGCCCGTCACTGTGATCCTACATGATACTCTCCTCGCGTCACTCACTGACTCAAGCCATTTGGCCTTTGGTGGTGATCTTCCAAGATGCTGGGAAGCTGCTGCCTCCTTTGCTTTGCACACGCTGCTCCCTCCTGCCCAGAGAGCGCCTCATCCCCAAATGTGTGCCTGGTTTACCAAGCCATTCCCTCACTTGTTCCTGTGTCTGTGCACACAGGTTACCCATCTGTGAGGTCCAACCCGCAGACAAAACGCAGAGAGGAAGTAGGAAAAGAACTGTTCAACTGTGGGGATTTAACGTACTGTCACAAAATAGAATGTGCATAAATTGTGAAGTGGAAAACTAATATGTGCTGTCAACTTTCACCCAAACCACAATAAAATGGTAAAACAAAACAGCCCCTAAATCACTCTACCCACATACACTATAATTCAAAATAAACACAAAATGATCTACCAAATTAAAACTGCTGATGCCATTCTACTGGCCAATGAGCTATTCCAAAATCAAACGATAATAAATAAAAGTGGAGTCACTGGCTTCTTTTTAGCCACTACTCAGAAGTCCACTCAAAAGTATCTGCAACCTGCATGCATTTCCAAACAGTACCTGTGTATTTTCTTGGAAGTGAATCCCAAGCAACTGCATGGGAGAATAGGCTTGGTACTCTGCTACTGGAAAGACAACGCCCAGGAAACCCTATGAGGACCTAGAGGGTCACTGGGTGTCCACAAATCACATCTCACAACACTTAGCCATGAGTGGGTTTGGTTTTGGTTTTTGACACTGTTAACCAAACAGGACACAATCTGTAAAATGAGGGTGTATCCTGAGCCAATCTCTTTTGAGTTATAGAGATTAAACAAGTAAGCAGAGTTGAGAGGGCCCTTACTTACTACCACCAAGAACATAGAGCCTTTAGATTCAGGGTCCCCACACTGAGACCCTCCCAGAGCCCAGGGAAGACGGATGCCCAGACAGGTGCAGCTCTCCAACGAACACTGCAATAAGCTCTCCTCCAGAGCAGACAGAGGGAAAAGCCTCCCAGACTTCAGCTTCTAAACGAAGAGAACAAATTTCTCCTCACTATTTCCATCTGATGAAACCATTCACTTACAGTATCTGTTGTCGCAGCACTTTGTTAATAGAAACGTCTTGTACAAAGCGTTATTCAGGTGTTCCTTTAAAACTCAGTTCATTTAATTTAGTCAGTTCTGCTACAGGTTAATTACCAGGTTGATGTACTGTAATTTGGTTTTATTGGAACTCAACCTGTACGACCACCATGCATATGTGCTTAAATGTTGAACATATATAAGCATATATTTTGTTGTTTTAAAAATATATTTAAATGAAAAATAGTTACTATAAAAGATGAACTGCAGGAGGGGGAGGGGAAGGGGAAGGAGAGGGGGAGGGGGAGAAAGTGGAACCGATCACCATGACCTACCTGTAACTCCCCTCCCAGGGGGATGGACAACAGATAAGGGGGTAAAGGGAGACATTGGACAGTGCAAGACATGGAAAAATAATAATTTATAAATTATTAAGGGCTCATGGGGGAGGGGCAGAGTGGGGAAAAAATGAGGAGCCGATACCAAGGGGTCAAGTAGTAAGAAAATGTTTTTAAATGATGATGGCAACAAATGTACACATGTGCTTGACACAATGGATATATGTATGGGTTGTGATGAGTTGTACAAGCCCCCAATAAAGTGATTTTTAGAAAGCCTTTTCTGCTTTAACAAGGAAGTTGAGATATACATTTTATAAGAGCTTTATGTATTTAATGAAAGCTTTGTACTTCGTTAATGCACTACAAAATTCTGAAAGGATTTATGTCAGATGTTTACTTTTGGCAGAATATGATTAAATTCTAAAAACTTGAAGGAAAAAAAAAAGGACTAACTGAAAAATAATACAGGCATTACGCATCTCTTGGTAGGATGAACACTTACACAATATTATTATCACTCTCCAAAATTAAACTGGAATCTGGTCAATCTCTAGAGGCAATTGCCATTTTAAAACAGAGAAATCTATTATAACACAGCCTACCCCAGTTATGTGATCAAAAAAAGTCCACACTATACAAGAGTCTATGAAATGAGCAACCTGGTTTATTAAAGAAAAAAATTCCAAGTAGAAGCTAGAGAACCTATAAATTGAAACTATTTAGGTACCATATCAACAAATTCTATCTGAAATAAAAATCAGTCAGTTATAAAATGTATCATTTATAGAACAAGTAGAAATGTAAACAATAAGTATCTCTGCTATTAGAACTATTCATTTTAAAGTTTTAAAGTGGAAGTATGGTTTTTTTCGTGTTGGAACACTGACGGCTGAAATGATCTGCTTGGGCTCTGCTTCCAATGACGTGGGAAGGTGAGACGTGAGTGGGGATAGAGGGGATAGAAGACTGGGCTGACTTGAAAATTGCACAGTAATGAGAATCTCCTCCACTTGACAACAGTCAAAGGAACAGCGAAGGCCTGCTAATGGAGAGCTGGGAAGATAAGTTACGTGAAAGGCTAGCCCTGTTCCTTTGGGCTCTGTACGGGCATGCATAGTGATTCAAGGAGCTTCACCACTCTAACATCCACCTCTTGCTTGCAATATTCCTTATTCATATTTTAGGGTACTGCAGCAAAGATGAGTACGGATCTATGAAATCAGCAAGTGTTTCGTACTTCAAGAGGCTAGCCCCACTAACGGATAGCAAAGGGCTTCAACAACGAGCAATCTTGAACATTATGGAGCAATTTCTTTCTCTTTTTCTACTTCTTGAAACGAATCAATCTAAATTACCAGGCTGCTTTCCATATTGAAGGGATCTGCTGGACACTACAGCCATTAGTTTAATGACATAAAGTTGCATTATGCCCTCAATGCCACAATTTAAATAAGAAAATAATCAATGGAATACTCACAAAATGAGAACTGAATCACATGATTCAACAAATCTGTCTCGAGTGCAATGAAGCTACAAATAAATACTTCTGGTTTGCTTTGATAAAAACATTTCAAAACAAAAAACAAAAAAAACATTTCTACGAGATCTTAAAGCGTTATCAACCTTACCTGTCTGGATAAAAGCCCCAATGCACTAGCACCTGCTTTTCCTTTCTCATCACCGGTCTCAGCCACTCTTCTGAAAGGGAAAGATAACAAAAAAGAAAACACTTCAGTCCCATGGAGACAAACTAATAAACTATTACTGTTTTACAAGGTTTCACGTAAAACAAACTGTAAGTTCACTACCAGTGAAGGAAAGAGCTTAAATGAACACCATCAGATTAAAGGAATGTTCAGTCTGCATCCTGCTTTCCAGACTCCAGGCCTGGGGTCCACCACTGCCCTCGCCAGTCAAAACGCTCCTCGCCGGATCACCTGCCGGGCTGCCTGCCTCTCTCTCTCTCTCACCACAATCCCCCTATTCTTTACTGCCTCCTTTCCCTACAGAACCTTTCCTCTCCTGTTCTCTGAGGCCTCATCACCTTGATGAAAACGTAATTCTCCGGCATCCTATACTATAGTCCAAACTGCTATACCAATAGTGCTTTCTTTACTCTTTAATCGCTCATCCCCACTGACTTAATCCTCCCAACACAAATGCAAACAGTGATTACATGTTGATGTCTTGTTTTTTTCCTTCAGGTTTCCTTCAGGATGATAGTAATATTAGTCTATCTGATCAAATGATTCTTATTTGGAATTCTGACTTTGGCCAGTGCATTGAGTTAACTCCACGTTTCAGCACTGACAGTCTTCAGTCCTACTACACATTTTGGTCTGAGCAGCAGGTGGAAAGTTCTGAAACAGGCTCCTTGAAACCCAAGAAATGGCAAAACTAAGGAAACCCATTTTAGTGCCAATTTCAATATGAAATAGCCTTTGCTTCCTAGGTTAACACCATGAAGTCCACCTGTTCTTTTTTAAAGCACCCACCTGCTCCTCTTATCTTAGGGGAAAGGAAAGCATGAGGCGCATTCCTTATTGTGGTAGTCCAACATGGACAGTGAGCCCACTCTGCTTAAACAAATCTTTCTAATGGCTTAGCTCTCTAGTAAGGGCTGTCTTTTAAAATATTGAATGTATCCATCAAATATTAGGGGGAAAATTATAGCCATCCATTTATATATGAAGATGGGGAAATATATCTATGAGCATATATTTATAGGTTTAGTATTAAGGTAGCAGAAGAACATTGGGCCTCCACTCAAGTACTCCCTCAACCCAAGAATACTTTCTTCTATTAAATTGGCATTCTATGATGCTCATCTTCCCAACACAATTGCTGAAGACAAAGCGAGTGAATAAGCAAATGGAGCGAAGAAAGCTGATGGTGCCTGGCTATCAAAAAATATAGCGTCTGGGGTCTTAAAGGCTTGAAGGTAAACAAGCGGCCATCTAGCTCAGAAGCAACAAAGCCCACATGGAAGAAGCACACCAGCGTGTGCGATCACGAGGTGTCGAAGGGATCAGGGATCCTCAGAACAAAAAAATCTATCATAGTGAAGGTGGGGGGGAGTGCGGAGTGGAGACCCAAAGTCCATTTGTAGGCCACTGGACATCCCCTTACAGAAGGGTCTCGGGGAGGAGAAGAGCCAGTCAGGGTGCAATGTAGCAACGATGAAACATGCAACTTTCCTCTAGTTCCTAAGTGCTTCCTCCGCCCCCGCTATCATGATCCCAATTCTACCTTGCAAGTCTGGCTAGACCAGAGGATGTACACTGGTACAGATAGGAACTGGAAACACAGGGAATCCAGGTCGGATGATCCCTTCAGGACCAGTGGTGTGAGGCGATACTGGGAGGGTAGAGGGTGGGTTGGAACGGGAGAACCAATTACAAGGATCTACATGTGACCTCCTCCCTGGGGGACAGACAACAGAAAAGTGGGAGAAGGGAGACGTCGGACAGGGCAAGATATGACAAAATAATAATTTATAAATTATCAAGGGTTCATGGCTGGGGGGTGGGGTGGGATGAGGAGCTGATGCCAGGGGCTTAAGTGGAGAGTAAATGTTTTGAGAATGATGAGGGCAATGAATGTACAAATGTGCGTTACACAACTGATGTGGATTATGATGAGTCATATGAGCCCCTAATAAAACAAGTAAAAATTTTTTAAAAAATGTATAGCCATCCTCATCACAGCCGACTTCAATACAAAAAAAGTTGGTGTTATCTTTGACAAGTTCCAAAAGCAGAAAAAACAGAAGGTACAAGAAATGAACTCACACACTTGAATTTCCCAAGGACAACCCTACACTGCCAGTTTCAAGAAAAAAGGCACAAATTTACCAGGAGAAAAAATCAAAAAGTAAAGATACATGCAAAGAACTAAGATGTAAATTAAGATAAGATGTAAAGAATTCTTACAACTCAACAATAACAGGAGATAAATAATCTAAATTGGGGGATAAAAGGTCAAAATATCTAAATAGACATTTCTCTAATTATATGATTAGCAATTAAGAGAAATGCAAATAAAAAACACAGACACTTTTTGACATCTACCATGAATCTACAGGTTGGTGATTCAAACTCTCTAGGAGTTCTGCAGGATCAAAGCATTCACTGACTGCTCCTGCAGATGTTACCCCCTAGGAAACCTTACGTGCAGTTCTACTCTATCCCGGGGGCTTCTAAGAGTCGGACTCCACTCAACAGCACATCATGATGGCAACAGAATGGGTTAAATACGTAGTACTGTGTGGCGAGATGGAGAAATTGGAAACTCAACAGACTATAAAATAGTGCAGACTGTGGGAAAAGTACGGTAGTTGTTCAAAATGCCAAAAATTAGATGATTCAGCAATTCTACACCTAGTTTTGTAAATGAAAATAGAAAACATTAAGTCCAGGCAAAAACTTGTCCATGACTATTAACAGTAGCATGATTCATAAAAGCCAGAAAGTAAAAATAATCTCTTAGCTGTTGAGTGGGCAAACCCTCGTTGGATATGCTCACAGCAAGGACGTACCGATGGATGCTACCACAGAAATGAACCCCGGCAATACTAGGATTATGCTAATCGAAGTCCATCAAGCACAAATGGCTGCATATTATAAGACTGCATCCAGGTAATATCCAAAATTCATAAATCCAAAATGGAAGAAAAAAGTAGATTAGGGTTGTTGGGTTGAAATGGGGGGGCGGGGCGCATGAGACCAAATGAATATGGATGACGAAAGGTAGTGTTAATAGTTACATAAGTGTGTGAATATGCAAAAAATGAATGGACAGTACATTTTAAAGGATGAGCTTTATGTGAACAATATATTAAATGAAGCTGTTATGTATTAAAAAATAAAGATAAGAAAAGACATGGCTCAGTCAAGAGGCACAAGGCAGCCAACACGTGTGGAGCACAAAGAACAAAAGGGGAAAACAGTATGAAATAACAAGATTAGTCCAAAGTAGTGGAACATTTTAAAATATATACGTACTTTTCTTCATCTTTGCATTCCTTCATTATCGTCATCATCATCATCACTGCTGTTGCTTTATTCTATTAATAGTTTATTTTTGTGTTAGATTTAGGTTTACTTTTTCTTTCTTTAATTATTTTCCTACTTTCTTCATGTGCTCACATCTGAAAGACTACATCACCTTTTTGCCAAACAAGTTCATGGACACAAGTGCTGAACCCAACCCTCAACCCCTTCTAGGTCTCCACTGCATGCTTTAGTTACTTTTCCTCTGTCCTCAAAGACACCGTGAACCCACCACCTGACAGACACACTTTATCCTGGATTATGGCTTACAGGACATCAATACTTCATTGCTGGGGAGTGCAGGATAATTGTTTTTCGGAAAAGGGGGCAGTCGGCCAAATAAATAGGTCTGGGAACCTGTGGACAAGCAGACCAGACTATTCACCTGGGTGAAGGAGAAGGTAATATCTTACAAGAGGGAGATGAGAAAGGGAGAGGGTGGAAAGAGGGCAAGCCACGGAGGTTGAATAAGCTGTTTATGTTGCTGAATGCAAAAACAATGATATGGTATATAAACCCTTACCTAATTCACAGAAAATAAAATGTTTGAGGGGGAAAAACAGATTAAAAAATAAAATGTTTGCTGAGTGAATAAAGAATGAGGATATGAGGCAATTGCCCCTCTTTCCTCCCTGTCCACTCCCAGGGTTGACCAGAGTGTGTTGAGTCTCTCCCAGGTGGAAGAGAGTGTAGGGAAGAGAGAG